AGGTAACTGCGTATCCAGTTTACATAACCACCAGAAAATCCAAGGGCACTCAGTTTGTGAAGAAGCAAAGAGTGGGGAACAAGGTCGAAAGCAGAAGTTAGGTCAAAATAAATGGCATCCACTTGACGTTGAGAGCCAACTAGGGGAGTAATAAAATCAAGATACATTACTAGATTGGTGGTGGTGGATTTACATTTTGTGAAACCGTGCTGGCAGGGATTTAATTTCAATTTGAGGTCATGTGAAACATGGTTATGGATAACATATTCAAATAATTTCGAAAAATTGTTAAGAATCGAAATAGGTCTGTAGTATTTGACTGAGGCACTATTGCCTTTCTTAAAGATAGGAACAACTGCCGCTTGCTTCCATAATGCAGGAAAACACTGCTGAGAGAGACTAAGATTGAAAATATGCTTCAAGACAGGTGCGAGTATATCAGAACAACCCTTAATGACAAATGCTGGGATGTTATGTTATATTCTGGTTTATGTTAGTGTTGATATTTCAATGCTGATTTTTTGCAGAACATGATTGATATATTATTGTCTCACAGCCTGCAAACATAACATGGTGTAATTAGTTATTTCTCTTTAGCTTGTGTTGGGTGAGGGGGCAATGTCACCAAATTTACTGTCAATTTTTCATACCTGTCCCTCACTTGATAACATGTGCTGTCTGCTGTGCTGGTGCTGTGGTGTAACCGATCACTTACCTACCGACCCGATTTTCGTACGGTATTTGTTTCTTAGTACCAGTTTTATACCAAATGTAACTTATGCCCAGTCTTGCATGACGAATGTACAGATAAGAGTTTCTGTAATAAATGGTGTGGTATGTGATCCGCTTACATCATCTTATCAGCCTAATTAAAGGAAGCTTCCAGATTGCTCTCGATCAGAAAAACAATTAAAAGAAGCTTCGAGATGGATCTGGAAAGTTCTTGAGCGTTACTTCATGCAGCAAACAATTGAGAGAGCTCAGGAACATTCTCGAAGGGGAAGATTCCAGAACATTGCATCATCCTTTAGTATTTAAAGGGGTTGATTACCAGAGAATACAACCCCACACACAAGTTATGGACAAGTAATAGATTACTAGCAGAGTAAACTGTAGTAGTAGAGACCACGAGACACACAAGTAATGGAAAATTAACGCTTGTCAATTAGGCTGGAAGCCAGTCCATTGCTACCTAGTGCTGTGGCCATCAAAGTTTGTATACAATGTGTGTTAAAGTACAGTAGTGGTTGTAGAACTGCAGTTATAAAACAAAAGGTTAGTGTGCTGAATAAATCAAGAGTATCAACTACCGGTGCTCTGTGGTGGTCTGAAGACTTCTTCACTGTGTGGGTGTGTTAGACCCCTTCTCGTCGAGCAAGGTCCGTTATGCACCTAGACAGACTCTCAAGGCTCAAACCTAGGACATCATCCTTTCTATATTACTAATACTTCGACATGGTTCTCTGACCATGTAATGGCACCCAACTTCGTTATCAATGAAAGTGCAAAAGAATTGCTACAAATGTCGCCCAACATGAGGGTACGACTAAAGAGCAGCTAAAGTGGTCGGTGTTTGAGATGGTATTAGCAGGAAGATGTACAGTGTTTAAAACATAGTTCAGTGTATGTTTCTTTTTTCTTTTGGCACTACAGCCCCAATTTGGGCCTTGGCCTACCTCCAAGACACTCTTTGTTCATTTTGGTTTACCAAATCTCAGACGTTTGGTTGGATTCCTTCGGATGGTGACCAACTCATCACAAGGCCTCTACCCCTACATAAACACAGAAAAAAATGTGCGCACACACGCGCACACACACACACAATATTCATGTACTGAGTGCGATTCAAACTCACGATCCCAGCTTCCAGGCGAGTGAAGACAGTGCATGCCTTAGACCACTCAGCTACCATGACTGGCTCGGTGTATGTGTTACCTTGTGCAAATACTATACAAGGTGTACTGGAAAGATCCTGGACTAGGGTAAAAAGAAATATTGGCTTAACTTAATTTGTCTGCCATCTCTTTCAAAACAGTCTCCTTGGGAACATATTGTGACGTGTCGCGCTAGCTGGACGCCCCCCCTCCCCCGGAGCGGTGACGCACCAAGCGGAGCCGAAGTGAGCCGAGTCCCAGCATGCTAGTCGCTATGCAACGCGGGTAAAGAGTGGTTGTGATTGTTGCAAGAGACAACTCCCGACAGCGTTGCTAGCAACACGGCGCCAGACAAGAGTGGTGTCTATTACGTGGCTGTTTTCTGGTGTTTCGGAACAATGCTAAATAAGGAGCAGCGAAGACTATTCAGTTAGTTCTCGAATTACAAGTTCACAGTTCTCAAGTTCTGAGTTAGCCAGCAACCAGTCAGTTGTATTCTGGCATTTGCAGTGTAGTATTTGTGATCCTGCCAATGGTAGTAATTGTCAGATTGTAATTTGGGTGCTTGTAAGTGTGAATGTGAAATAAAATTCGCTATATCAAATATGGCGTGAAGTTATTTGTCGCGTTATACACCCAACACGTGACAATATACAGCATTCCAATCGTTTTTTCCACGCTTCAAGAGAGCAGTGGAAGTCATTTTCTTCAATGCTGTCTAGCACCACTTGCAATTCCCTTTGGATGTCAGATACTGTTTCAAAACATCGTCCCTTAAGTTTCATTTTTAATTTGGGTAACAGCAAAATCACAGGGGTCTAAGTCCAGCGAGTAGGGAGGAACGGGATCGATAACCATGTTGTTAGTCACAAACTCTGTGGTTTTCATGGATGCGTAGACAGGTGTGTTGTCCTGATGAAGGAGCAATATGGCACATATTCCACATTTTCTGTTAAGCTCTCCTGGCAAACTCCATAACTGATCCCAATGGTGTCTGCAAGCTCATCCATTGTTCGGCAATCGTTTTTGTGGACAAGTTCTTGAATTTTTCAACATCTTCTGTCACTTTGCTGGTGTCTGGTCAAAATGGATGGTCATCATTTTCAATTCACATTTGACCGGCCTTGAAATGTGAATACCATTCAAAAACTGCTGTCTGGCTTAAACTTCAAGCACTGGACTCTTGAAATGGTTGTAAGCTTGAGCTGGCCGGAGTTTATTTAAATGCCCGTTGCTGCTCTGCGTTTAAATGTCCGTTCCTCTTAGGGTGCTTAAACAATTTTAAGCATTGTGTTTAAAAATGCTGTATCTAACACAATTTTATGACAAATGGATGGAATTAATTTTTAAAATTTTTATACAAAGAGTTATACTCTATTTTCCATTTTGATTTTATTTTGATGCTTACTGCAAAAATGGTTTCCCAGTTCTTCACAGAGTTGTTCTGCATTATAAATTCATTTCTGTTTGTAACACTTGACAAATTTAGCAGTCCCTGGTGTCATAAAACAGATGGAAGCAATAAAATCATTTGGTTCTCTGCTGGAAAACCTTACATCTTTGTTACACCCTTCAGATTATCAAATCTTTTGACTAAAGGACAGAAGAATGAAAGCACTGCTATTCAAGAAATAGCTAGAGGGGTCCCTTCTTCAGTGCTAAGACTCTCCATTCTAGCTACAAGAGATTATTGCCCTTTCTATGGTTGTGAACAGACAGTGGCATCGTGGCTGAGATACAGAGTGCGATCTGTTTTCTGTGCGTTTGTAGTCAAATCAAATAGTGTACTTTCATTTCAGCCCATATATAAAACAGATAACAACAAAATAAATACGAGGGGGTACCCAAAAGAAACTGAACTTATTTTTTTTTAAACTTATTTATTCAAATTTTAAGCACAAACCTTCAATCCCCTTCAAAGCACTCTCCACTTACACTAATACACTTGTCTAGTCTTTTATTCCATTTTCAAAACATTGTCTAAATTCATCTTTTGAGATGCTTGACAGCGCCTCCATCGTTTTTTCCTTCACCTCAGCAACATCAGCAAAACGCTGAAAAAAAGTTTTGATCATTTCGGGACTCTTCTTTCAAAGCACAGCATGCTTCCACACAATTTCTTCAATGGTCCGTTGTCGATTTTCCTTGATGATTTCACAAATTTTTCCAACATTTTCATGTGTTCGGACCATTGCAAAAACGACGATCACACAAAACAGTTGTCACTATAAACTCTGCCGAAACTAGTCCTTACCTTCTGAAGCAACGGTAGTCAGCTTATCGACTCAGGAATGTTAGCTCTATGCGCTCATATCGGCAAAACGCGGTACTACAAAAGCTCTGCCCACAAAAAAATTTGTTCGGTTTCTTTTGGGTACCCCATCGTATGTACATTGAATTTTACTATATATATTTATCACAATCTGCAGAATCTGCAATAAAAGTATAGGCTCGTGGTTGAGTTTGGGCATAACTCATATGTATACTCTTTTTTGCTGTTGTTAACTTAGGTATCATTTTAATTCCTCTATTATGGTTTTATTAAATTCTGTCTGGTAATTACTACATTTAAAAATAAATATTTAGGACTGTGAATGCGCTTCCACTAGTGGAGTTTAAACGCCCGACTGGCCACACTCATCACTGGCCCGATCAGGGCACTTCAGACATTACAGGTTAAAGAATGTTCTCCAAAAGGCTCACAAAGCATTTCAAAGGTTTTGACATTGGATTTACCAAGCTTCTCGCAAAACTTGATACAGAAACATTGCTTCATTTTGCCATCCATTGCAGACAAAACGAAACATGAAGTCAAAAAAGCACGAGAGTAAAAACAATGCCTGATCAGAGTGTGGTGTCACGTGACAGACTGATGCAATAGGCTTTCAGAAGTGTGACCTTTAGCCTCCCCTCTCATGTTCTTTCACTGAGGCAGTTGCAAAAATAACTGTCTGGGAACTATCAGATACCACCTCATACAAAATAATGCTTTTCGTCTTCATTGCGTTTATCTTTGAGTAGATTTATCTTTTTGTATTTGTACAGGGAGGTTCTTACAGTTGTTGACTGATTCATGGCTCCACGATTCACAGCAACCAGCACACCGTCGACTGTGAGTCAAATACGAATTTTGCCAGAATGAGCATATCTGATGGTCGATAATGTTTGGAATTAAGGGAAGTTATTAATTTTGTGAACTGCTTGATAGGATTATGTTTCATGATAATTAGTGGGGTTTATGCGTGGGAATGTGTTTATGATTTGACAGCAGTGGGTGAAACTTACCAACTCCATTAGTAATTTTTTCTGTTACAATTAGTGAGCACTGTGTTCTACAATGATGCGGTATACTTTAGAGCAATGTGTATTTCTGTATGACGCATTCAATTCTGCTAGTAAGTGCCTGTGAAAATTTTGTGATAAAAGAGTTCCCAGAAGACAAACAATTCACAAATTGGTAAATAAACTTCGATTAACGAGACTCTTTACTAGACAAAAAAACAAAAGAATAAGGGCCAGGTGCTCAATGTCTACCTCAAAGAACACTGGAGTGTCACAGCAGAGTGCAAGAAGGGCAACACAACTACTGCAGCTTAAACCATATAAGACAACAGTAATACATGCCTTGCAGCTGTGAGATCCAGCTAACAGGGTTCATTTTTGCAGTTGGTTTCTACAGTGTATCACTCAAGATGAGATTGATCCACAATTGACATTCTTTTCTGTTGAAGCATGGGTTCACTTGCAGGGATACATAAACACAAAAAATTTATAGATCCTGGGAACCCTATGATGTAGTACCAAAGCACTGTTCAGGGGATTGGACAGACAAGGAAAATGTGAAGGATTTTTCCACTACAGAATCATATGCAAACATTTGGTTTACACGGTATTTCATTCCATCTATATTAGATCTGCTTAAAAGAAAATGGGACTGGTACATCACAAGCAACATTCAACAAACTACAGTTGCCTAGAGACACTTTAGAAAGAAAACCTTCAAAATCTGGTCAACAGCACAGTGGAGCTTCTTCACAGGCACAGACTGAGATAGAGATGAGAACGAGAAGTGCCACTTCTGCACATTTGTGTTATCTGCCTAACAGTGCACATACAACTCACCTTAGGTTCAGCCTTTAGTTCTGGAAATGTTACTGCAAGAGGATCCTCTTCCTCTTCTGCCTTAGCCTTTACATTCATGGCCTGATATGCATTATGAGGTGTTGGGTATGGCTCACCATACAGACCCACTAAAACGTTCTCTGAATTTGTACAGTTCTGTAAAAACCATCACATCTTTCTCAGAAATGGATGCACAACACCACACATTAAACAGCTTATGCTCTCCTAGCTACTGCTGCTTCTCATTACATCTAGCTCATAAAAGCTGTTTTGTACAGATTCTCTTCTCTACATCTATCAAGAGGGGCCACACGGGAGCATAGTTGGTTGTGGCACTATGCTACAAGTCAGAAGGTCGTGGGATCAAATCCCGATGAGGTCGTTGGATTTCTTTCAACTGACCTAATCCTGGGTCAACTCAGCCTCTAACAGAAATGAGCACCAGGAATTAAATAATTTTCCTGGGGAATGAAGTTCGGATGGCACGTAAGGCTGACAACCTTACCGCCATCTTTGAACTTATTGTCTAGAGAAAATGTTGGATCCTCAATGTGACACAACCCTATGGGCCTTCACAGCCTGTTACAGGGATAGCTTTACTTTACTTTTACATCTATCAAGATCATTAGAAAGTATTCGGATCATAGCTGAGTGACCTTCCTAAGAGAAAATGGTCATTGCAGCAGTACAGAATATAACTGCTCTCTTTCGTACCTAAAACATCTTAAGGGGGAGCTCCATAACTTATAACCTTCATTCACCAAGCATAATTAAAATGATCAAGTCAAGGAGGATGAGATGGGCAGCTCATATAGCAGACATGGGGGAGATGAGGAATGCATATAGGACGTGTTGAGAAAAGCAGAAAGAAAGAGATCACTAGGAAGATCTAGGCACAGATTGCAAGATAATATATAAATTGATCATAAAGAGACATAGGATGCAGTGGTGTGGCCTGGATAGGGATCTGTGATGGGTTCTAGGGAACAAATTAATAAACTCTCAGGTTCCATACAATGTTGGGAAATTCTTCAGTGGCCAAGCAACTGGTATCTTCTGAGTCTCACACAGCTCCATGAAGTTATTTATGGTACATAAAGGCTCATTACTGTGGTCACACATGCTCATCATGGCTCTGTATCCTAAGGCAAACAGACCCAGTACAAACCCTACCAAACTACTTCTTTAAAATCTAGCTTAATAGCATCTTTCCATCTGCATTTAGGTCTCCCAAGTGGGCTGTTTCTCTCGTGTTCTCCCTCCAAAACTTTGTATGCATTTCTCACTCTCACAGGTGCACTACATGACTTACTGACATCAGTCTCCTTGAATTGATCACTTTCCTACATAATGTATCAAACTGTTATAATGTCAACACTAAGGTGTAAGAAAATCCACACATAGATTATGCAAACAATCAGAAGCAGGTGACCAAATACAGTAGAACTTGGTTATAACGTCATCAAAGGGACCTAAAAATAGTGTCGTTATAAACGAATGTCGTTGTAACCGAAATGGGCACTTCCACAGTAGCCTTATGTTAGTCACGTAAAAATCTACCAAAACCGAGTTAAAATGTTGCATTTTTTAGGGGAAATACGTAGTTAAGTACAGACTAACGTAACATTAACGTGGAATTGCCCAAATGTGTAATATCAAAGACATATTGCAGCGCTTTTCACTGACAACACACACCGCACTAATACTGTATATTAAAGGTAGGCCTACTCACGAAATTACAGTAGATTACATCAATTGTTGTGCCTTACTGTACCTAGATACGAGTACAGTAATCAGTTATCTTCATCTGTTTCCTGTTACTTGCCCAATACACACTTTCTAAATTACGTTCAATGTCCATATCAGAGAAATTCAGGAATGAAAATGACGTTACATACGAGGTTGACGCATTTGTGCATGTCATACTAAGCAAGGTATAAAAACAGTTGCTTTATGAGGAATTAGTTCGTACCATTGAATATTTGACGCAATAGACAAGGTGTCGCAGAAACCGATGTTGCTATAACCAAGTTTTACTGTATTTAATTTCTCTGACCAAGAGAACTGATATATGAAAATATATTTATTGTCTGTGCACACAAGCACTATACACAGTCCTTTCTCTCACAGCAGGAAATGTTTCTTCAGCTCCCTGCAGTACAATTCTTGCCATTCTTATTGCAAGGGAATGCAGAATCGTTTGTAACCTGTTCATCACATGAAAAACATTTTGTGGGGTTAATTGTAATTAGTTTACAAGAGTGCTAGTAATTAAATCCTTGATTCTAATAAGTGAAGCAGTAATTAACTACACAATTTCTCTGAAACACAGTTCAGTCTACACAAAATTTAATTTCATCTACATCAGAGCTGCTTAAAAGGAAATGGAAGTGGTACATCACAAGCAACATTCATTCAACAAACTATAAATGTCTAGAGACACTTCAGAAAAGGTTATTCAAAGGACAGTCAGCAGCACAGTGGAGCTGTTCCATGTGCACAGACAGCCAGACAGATGGAGATGAGAGAGACAACTGGAATTACTGCCTATCTGTGATATCTTCCTAACAGTGGACATACAGAAACATACAGCTCACCTCAGGTTCAGCCTTTATCTCCTGAACTGTTATTTGCGCAGGATCCGCTTTCTCTTGTGAGTCTGAGACTTCTTCAGCTTTTATATTCATGGCGTGGTTTGCATCATGACTTGCTGGGTATATCTCACCATATGGACCCACTAAGACCTTCTCTGACTTTGTATAGTTCTGTAAGACCATCATATCTTTTATCAGTAATGCCTGTACAACACCATATATCAAACAATGTATGCTCTTTTTGCTGTAGCTGTTTTTCATTACATCTACCCTATAAAAGCTGCTCTCTGCAGATTTCTTCTCTAGACTTCATAATCTTAAAATGTTAAGTTCATAATGCTGGGACCTTGTTCAGAATCCAATGGACCCTGTGGCAGTTCAATTCAATTCAATTCAATTTATTTCAAATTCAAAAATAGATCCAGATACAGGCTGGGAAACAACCATTGGATATAGAATGAGTCACAGATCAAAAAACAAACATTCCATTCACACAGGAACAAGTCAAGGCATTAAAAAAAAAAGGGGGGGGGACATATCAGCCATATATACAACAAAACTCCCCCGGTATGGAACTCTCAAAGGTTTCAGGCGTTAGTACTCATTACTCCTCTATTATTTCCATAAAATCCAACACTTTAGGATGTGGAAAAGTCATATTAGATAAATAAGTGGTACAAAGAACTAAGTAAAGACATAAGAATACAAACAGAATACAACCAGAATACAATTAATCTTAGCGACTAGTATATACAAAAAATTCATCCACAGTATAAAATGGGTGACAAGTCAAGGCATTCATAATATAAAACAAATAAAAAAAGAATATATCAGGTATATATACAACAAAAACTTACCCGGTTTACAAAAACAACACAGAACCAAGACATCTTATTATAGAACTCTCAAAGGTTTCAGGCGTCAGTACAAGCTCTTTTTTTAATTTTCATTACTCATCTCTTATTTCCATAAAATCCAATACAGTACAGAAAATATCTGCTCTTTATGTTACCTAAGCACTCATTACTGTGTCCACACATGCCCATCATGACTATGCATTCTGACACAAACAAGCCAAGTGCACACCCCACAAACTTATATCTTTAAAATCCATCTACACAAATGTGTAACTTTTCAGGTTTCCTATCCAAACCTTTGTATGCATTTCTCATTCTCATGTGTGCTACATGATCTACCCATACCACTCTCCTTGAATTGATCCCTCTCCTACATAATATACCAAACTGTTATAATATGAAGAACTACCTAAACTCCACTGACGGATGACGAAAACTAATACAAGATTGGTATAAAATTTTTAGTTTTTTTTTTGGGGGGCTATGAGAATTGACAGATAATAAAATTCTTCTGGGCACACAAGCACAAAACACTTACCATCCTTTCTCTCAAAGCAGGAAATATTTCTTCGTCTCTTTGTAGCAGAATCTTTCATAACCTCGAAACTTTCTTATCACACGTTTTGTGGTTTGCAAATGAATTGATTTGCTAGAATCCTGGTGATATGGAATCATATTTCTAACAAGCGTACTTGTATCTAGTCGCGAATATTTGCCCAAGTCTGTAAGGAAACATAATAATAATTCTGTACAAATACATACTAATTTGCTTTCTTTGTTCTCACAGCACACACTACGAACCTTAGGCAGTTGAAGCCGGTCGTACACCAAGGAAACTGCCAACCGCGATTTCTGAAAAGTGTAATCAGCCGGAGTTGACACAAGTTAGTAATTGGGGCTGCGCAAATTGAGGAAACGACAACGCAACGCGTTGGGAGACTGAGAAACTCAATATCCAGGCAACGGAGCATGCCAGTCTTCATTAGATTGAGTACGGCTGACGTGAGTTGTTGCGTGGATTCGTAGAAAGCAGCTGTTCTGTAATGCGCATGAGGATCCAGTTAGTTAAGTTGTCAGGAATAACTGACGGAGCTGGTAATTTGTTTTTGTGCAGTTAATTGAGCAAGAGCCTGGCGTATATGACAGACGGCGTGCAGTCTATGCCAGGCGGTACAAAGTAGATTTGGCTTGGGAAAAGAATTTTCATGAGATGAAGGAATGTGGATGTGTGTATGACGTCTGTTATCTGTGATTATTAAGTGTTTGCAGCCTGCTTTAAAGTGATACGTAATGTACACGAACGAAGAACTCGCGAGCATGCATTACATGTATGGTTTGGCGGATGGTAATGCTTCGGAGGCGCGTCGCTTGTATCAGGGACGCTATCCAATGTGCAGATTGCTAGACCGAAAGACATTTGAAGGTACCCATCGCCGCCTATGCGAACACGGGAGTTTCGCACGTCCACCAGGCACAGGGGGACGGCCAAGAAGTACAACCCCCGAGGACGAGGAAGATGTAGTCCTGCAGAAGAATATCCCGCAGATTACGATCTGGTGACTGCTACGAGAACAGCTCCTGTACAAGCCTTGCCTCCTGCGGATTATCCTACAGGAGTAACGTTCTGCCGGTGGTTGCTGCAACAATGCGGTGCGACGCCTGACTTCGCAGCTTTGGTGTTGTTCACGGATGAGGCGACATTCACAGGGACGGAATCCAAAATATAATCGGCACGTGTGGGCGGACACAAATCCCCGTGCAACTATCCAATGGTCTCAATCAACAGAGGTTCGCCATTAAAATCTGGGCAGCCATTGTTGGTGATTGTTTGTTGGGACCCTACGTTCTTCCGGACAAGCTTAATGAACAGAACTACACAGATTTCTTGCGTACTACATTGCCTGATTACTTGGAAGACATGCCACTAGCATTCCATCAACAGCTGTACTTCATGCATGATGGTGCTCCCACACATTTCAGTCTGTCTGCCCGCAGGCACCTTAATGCACATTATCCTGAGCGCTAGAGGTGGACCGATTGCTTGGCCACCACGCTCTCCTGATTTAAATCCCCTGAACTTTTACCTGTGGGGACCATTAATGTCTGTCGTGTATTTGACTGTTGTTGCTGATGTACCAACTCTCCGTGCGCGTATTGTGGCAGCCTGTCAGACAGTACGCACTACACCGGGCATTTTTGATCGTGTGCGGCACTCAATGCGACGACGAGCGGAGGCCAGTATTCAGGCAGGAGGAGGTCACTGTGAACATTTCCTCTGATACGTGACCAGAGTGTTCCAGCTGGCGTTACAGACGTATTCAGTGTAACAGTGCAACAGTGTGGAACTGGCTCATTCTTTACAAGCCAGCAGTTCTCAGCCACTCAATTCCCAGAATTTTATAAGATTCGTGGCATATATACCTTTATACTGAGGCATCCAGAGTCAAAAGCATTTCACATACAAAGGGGTTGTTAAAACACCCAGGCGATATTGCAGGGTTATAATTTGAAAATGGAACCCAATCCTGTGTATAGAGCCAGGATAGCTCAGTCGATTTAGCGACTGGTTAAGTGCTGGACAACCAAGGAATCGGAGTTTGAGTCCCGGTGGGGCAAGAATTTTAACTTCTCTGTGTCGTGCAAACCTGCTCTGTGTTCCACCCAGCCTCCTATCCAATGGGTACCGGGGGCTTTTCCTAGGGGTAAAGCGGCCGGGGTGTGAAGCTGACCACTCACCTCCAACTAATGCCGAGGTCAAGAAAACGTGGATCTTTACGTCCACTCTCCCATGCATCTTAATTGCATAGTGCTTAATTACTTCAGCACAGCGACAACTTCACTGTTTATACCAAATTCTGTGTTTACCCTGACGATCTGGCTCCACCATAGCGCGGAATATTACGAAAGTTGGCCTGTCATGTAAATGGAAGGCCATTGAGTCACCATCACTGCACATGTGACATGTTTCATGCAAGAATTAATTTAATATTGCTGGACTTGTAGAATGTAATGGAGGGATTTGGCGATGAATGAGGCTCTTTAAGGTTCTATAAAGAGAAAACGTCTTGAACAACTGTATACTCAATAGCGATGGTGAAGCACTAGATATATTTACCAAGAAACAATGTAAGTTAGCATTTATCCTGTTTGGCCAAAGAAAGATGCATTCCACTTAAATTTCAAACTATTAGCTATGGGATCTGAAAAAAACTTTAAACGAATCATACGATTTCACGTTAGTGGTGTGCACTGTTACAGTATTATTCGTTTCAGTACATTTTTGACGCTCTCTAAAACGTTTTCCACCTGTACGCCGATGAAAATTAACTTTTGACATCCTTTACATTTACTACAGAATGTAGTGCAATAAGCACTGAATGATGATCACACACCTTTGGTGCATTCAGACCTACCTGTTAGTTTCATCATGTCCTTCTGTATGTCTGCAATATCACACTGCCTTGCCTATGTTAATCAAACTGCATTTCACAGACCAATACAACATTTTATCAAGATTTTGTTTTATTCCGGGGTAGTTTCTTCATTTTCAAGGGTTGTGTTACTTACTGCATAAATTAGCATCACACGTAACTGTGGTTCTTTGACAGATTTTGATAAGATTTAATCCATGTTCTTATATTATACAAGTGTGACTATATAGTTCTGTCCACTGATTTTAAGCCCCTCAATACTGAAAGACTTGAATATATTTTGAAACGTGTACATCAAGTATTCAAATGAGAAATCGATTTACTGCATGAGGGCCACAAGTATGGCTAAACTACAGACGTAGTACGTTATATAACATTTGCAAAAAGCACGGTAATTTCCAGAAAATCACTAGCATTAATTGATGAACAGTATTTAATTGGGTACCACCAAAATTCTTGTCCTAAGTTCTGTTATCGCCCTGAACTTGATAATCTGTTAAATTTACAGCCATTTACAGCCCCCTTACTTTTTATAAACTCAAGACTGAAGAAAGAGAGGAAACTATCAATAAACCAGCATCTTTTAAGTTAGCAAAAGCATTCTTAAACGGTTTAAACGTGCTTGTGAGCAATTTTTTTTGGCTGCCCCCTCCCCTTGGAAAATCTCTGGGGAAGGGTGTATGTTTACAGCAGACTGACGTCACACATAAGTAAAATAACATGTTTAAGGTCGGCCAGTCACTTGACGACTCTGCTCTGTAAAAAATTTGCGAAATGTGAAGGAACGAAAGCAGGATTCAATCTTGCAGAATCATCTACGGCCCAAAAACAACTGTTTCGCCCACATGAATATCAGGAAACGGCAATAACAAGCGGAAATTATAGTACAGAAAAGCTGTCAGGCCGTTCTTATTGGAGATGTTCAAAATGTCGGCCATTGGTGCCCAAACAGAGGATGTGCTGGTGCATTACCCATGGACACGCTCTATGTGCAAGTGTAATGTATTTAAGTTCATACTGAACTGAATTGAGCTGAATATAAACTGGTAGTTTTGTACCTAAAATTGAATTGAATTACAAAATTTGTTAAAAACAAAAAAGGCCGGCAGACAAACACGAAGAAACTAACAGGCATGTAGGAATTGTCAAGGAAGATTAGGAATAACTGTAACAATAGTTTAAATTGTGAAGATGCATCGTTCTTTGTTTCACCCGCTCGCCACGGTGAGGCACAGGATATGAGCGGGGACCTGAAACAAAAGAAACAAACAAAAAAACTTCAGTGTGAACACCAACAAACAGATATTGTATTAACAGAACGAACACACAAGCTTACCCTTGCTGTTGGTACTCTTGCCATCTCTTCTGTAACACGTCTTCTTTTAAATACAAAATTCTTCAGACATCATGCTGTAAGTTTTAATATCTTCGATCGTGAGAAGCGTACAGTTGAGTGTACCATTTGTTCGCTGCAATTGTCCCCATTAAAATGGACAACACAATTAGACAGAAAGATAAATGTAGGCCGTTTGGTGCAGAAATAAAAACAAACGACATAAAGAAGTAAAACTTTCCGTTTTCATTCAAGTCTTGAGCACTCGCCGTAAAAAAAGAAAAAGCAACATATCGACGACTTATCTCGAAATATCAAATCACATTGATGTTTTTCGAAAAAGGTCCCTTTTAACACAAAACGACAACACAAGAACACGGTCAAATGGGAGACGTTCCGGCGCATGGAAAAATTCGTCATTTAAAATGAAATCTTATCCTGTGTCGCACAGCCTAGCGGCTATTTACAGAACTGACCAACGTTAGTGTATTCAATTTAAACAGAATACAACATATTCTTTTTCTAAACAGAAGTTACTTTTTATGGCAGTTAAGTTTTTGTCACAAAACACAAACTCCGACAAAAATCGGCGATTTTTACTGACACGTGAAATATACTCGTCACAAATTCACGTGTTTCTCGAGAAGTAACAATGTAAAACCCTCATACTATCGTCTCACCTGATGTGTTTCATTGTGATGACAAACGCTGTCTTCTCCGTTGCTGAAGCTGCAGCAATTTTGACTTACCTTGTGCAATTCTTCATGATGACAATCGATGTCTTC